GACTGTTGATAAATGATGGAGAGTGGCTTCCAAAGATATAACCATTTAGAAAATTGTAAAAATTTTGGCTTGCTATAACCCACTATGTATAATTGTCACTGTAAAACCTGTAGTATGAAGCACCTTTGTAGAGCTGATATTTAATCCAAGTTTATTTTCTTGGTGCCATCTTGTGGATAAAACAAAAATTACTGTGAAAAGCATATAATTCAGTGCAATTCCTGTCATGCTTCCAGATCTGTCATGTTTGTAGTCAGTCCCCCTTACTGACATCACTTTTTTCTAGAAAGTAAAGTGTATTACCGTAATCTTATTGTTTCAGATGCGTCTTATGGAAGAAAACTTGAGGGACCACCAGAGAGCTCAGGATGAGGCAATAACAAAAACTCAGCTGCTAGAACAGACTGTGAAGGGTTTGGAGTATGAACTGGAAGTCAAAAACCACTTAAAAGATGACCGGGCAAGACAAATCAAACTAATGGAGGTAAAAGACATTTTTTAAGGGTTGGTATCTTATTAGAACAGGTTAAAATAATTTTAGTATTTCACATGGATTCTGCCTGGGAAGAAACAAAATAACTTGATGTTGTTGAAAAGCCATGTAGTACTACTGCAGGAATTATTCTGGTGTATTCTAAAGGCGATTTGTTCATATCTACTGTAGCATGATGTGTTCTAAATTGCAATTGATATTTTATCATTTTAATTAACTTTATTTTAAATTTACTTTCTCTAGAGTTTATCAGGCAAAATTGTATTTTTATTCATAGGGCCATCACTCAGAACTTCATAAGTATTTAGAAGTATAAGTTCTATTTAGCATCTGATATCAGTTCACTTCAGAAGCCTAAATAACATCATTATTCTAACTATGTTGTTACAGGGCTTCATAGCTTCATAGCTGTTCAGTTCAACTCAGCTGTCATTTGACTTTGATAAACAAATACTTTTCTACCATTGTACTCAATGAAAAGAAATTTGACTTCCAAATATATAATGTGACTTAGACATTCTAAAAACAGTATCTAGAAACATTACAGAATTTCTCTTATTTTCTTGAAATTGGTGGGAGTCATTAAAAAGGAAATTAAACCTCTATTTTACTTCTGTCAGACAAACAAATTCACTTTAAAGACTTGTTTACCTGCCATCTCTTTTTCTAGATTCCGTACGTGTTTTCAGAGGCATTTCACTTTTCAAGCCTAGTCTTTCAGACAGTTTGAGTCCTTGAAGTTTAAGGAAGAGTGACCTGATGGGAAAGTAGTATGTTGAAATTACTTTTCTTTCTTCCACTTAGGACAAGTTATCTCACCTGGAACTTGAGCTTGATGAAGAAAAGACTAATTCGGATTTGTTGTCTGAGAGGATCAATAGATGCAGAGAACAGGTACTTGAACAAGTTTTCCAACTGTTGTATAATGAGGAGGGAAAAGTGTTATTAGGATCACAATATTGATTAACTAAACAATGATTAGCAGTAGGGTTTATATATGCTATACTTAAGCAGCGTATGTACATCCAAAAACCAAGGTTCAGGAACATGATTAAATATGCTCCTCCACGTCACCATGGACCATTTTTTTCCTGTTTTCCTAACTGGAAGACTGACACAGATTGTATATAAAGACTGAAGACCACTATCATCCTCTGATATTCCTGATGCAGTGAGCTTCAAGTATTCATTGATGCATGCAGATGATCTGTCTTAGGCTTAGTTTTAGGTGGTGAAGCTATCAGAAAAAGCCTGGTTGTAGAAACTATCTTAGATTGAAAGATCACAGTTTTTTAACCTTACTGAAAAGTAGGCCAGCACAATAGTCTTGATTTCAAAGAAGGAGGAGCTTTAGAAAATTGTGGAATTAATAAGTGAAGTCAGCTGAACTGAAGATGCTGGCCAGTTTCAACAGAGAGGAAGCTTTATTTTCATAACAAGTGTAAAAACTGATTAAGGTATATCAAAGATAAGACAGTTGGAAAGCTTTTTCCACATAAAAACATCAGTCATTAGTTACAGAAGTGTTGTATATACACCACACTTTGGGTATTATAGTTCATTATCAGTACAGTATATGAGTAGATAGTGCAGGAAGAGGGGAAGAAGGATTTATTAACAAGGTGTGTGTCATATGGCAGAAAATGTAAAGATAAAGTGAGATTTGCCAAGTTAAGTGAGACCTATTGTAGTAATTCAAACAAGGAGCAAAAAGTTGACTGTATAAGTAGAAGAAAGAAGTTGTGAAAACTGTATGATGAGGTAAGATATCAAGATTAAAAATGGAGATATGCCTCCTCAAAAAAATTAATATTTTGTCTCTGTCTTCAGCAAGCCCGGTGAATGTGCTGGTGGGGGGAAGTAGAGTGCGCTAATGGAAATGAGACCACTGAGCTGGAAATCACCAAGTCTAAGAGAGTTAGGAGTTCATTGTTCTGAAGAAAGAGGCCTGAGTGATATTATGCAAGATTTCTGAAAGAATTGACATATGAAATTATAGGTCCTGCAGCAAAGACTTGTAATAAACCAGAAAGGTAGGGAGAGGGCCTGATGACTGAAAAAGTAACCAGAGCATCCATGGTTGAGTAGTCAGTATTATGCAAGTTTTTGATCAGTCCACGGAAAGGAATATGGTGTTGTGGCTGTCTTGGAATATCACGGCCTAGACAGTGTTCTTTGCCTTGGTTTTACATTCTGAAAGCTGTGAAACTGATGCATAACTCATTACAGCATGTCCGCTACTGTAGAAGTCCAGGAGACAATTTGCATTGAGGTACAACCCACAATAGTCTGTTCTCATTTTTCTTTCTCCAGAAAAAATAAAAGAATTCCTGACAATCTTTTGAATAGCTTTAATTTCAGAGGGAGAAGAGAAAGTAAAATCTTAGTTTCTATGTCTTTTTAATGAAATTGTGTATGCCACTGAGACAGCGGAAGAGTTTTCAAGTGAGTTAGAGCTCAGCTTTCTTTCATGCATCCTTGAAACACCAAGGCATTGTTTACTACTTTGTTGGGACTCAGGTTACTGAGATTCTATTTGACTGCAGTATAGTCTTCTTGCTATTATTCCATTCATATTTTACAGGATGGGTCAGTGGGTGAAATAGAATGTAAAGGACCCATAATAATGGGAGTCACGTTATTATTAAATTAGGAAGCATTTAATACTAGTCCATGCCTGTGTTGTAACCCTGGGATTAAAGAACCTTAGTCATAGTTGCATTGGTGGGTACTGTAATAAATTAATTTGCTAACTGAATGGAAACCTAAAATACAGATGGGTGACCAAAATGTTGCATAATGGGTAAAAGACGTGTTTATTTTGAGGTCTGGAGCTTATGATTTCACACATGAGTTACAAAGGTTTCTTTGTTTTGATTTTATGCCAGAATGACTAAGTAGTCAAATTACTAGAGAGTATTTCAGGGTCTGCTAAGCATTTATAATGACATGAGAAATTATAATGGATTTGTTTTGGTAATATCTGTATTTCTGTAAATTATTATTTTTTTTAATTGTAAATGTGTTATTTTAACGTACTGATAATGAACTACAATACTCAAATTGCTGGTAAAACCAAACTGAAACAACTGGTTGTATTTTACATAAAGCTAAATGTTTGAATAAACATTGGCAAGGCTGACAGTTCACATTTCATTTACCATGAAATGTTATCCTTTTTTAATTTAAACACTCTTCTGAGTCAGTGAATGGCTGCATGAGACACTGTTCTCATCTTCCCTACCTTGTTCTTGAGAAGTACCACAACAAAGGGGAAACACTAAAAAAATTGGGGGCAAAGGTGGATCATATGCTATTAGTTTTTTAAATGATAAGTTATTAGCACCTCTGGAAAGAGCAAAATAGTCAACACCACACACATATAGAAAGCTAGAGTGCTCAGCTGCCCTTTGAGTCTGAAGTGAGCAGGGACAGGGCACATTTTAGTACATGATGGTTTCTTCCCTACAAACAAGTGAAATGAAGTACCTCTTGCCATTTTGTTTTTGCAAACGCAATTGAAAATATACCTAAGATACCCTCATCAATTCTTGTATTCTGTGAAATTGCAAACATGAGCCTGTTGATGTTAGAGTTCTTTCCAGTAAGTGTGAAAAATGGACTAGTTAGTTTACATGACAATTTTAGAATAAATACAGAAGGGTGAAATTACATTGACTGCATTATTCACTTCCTTTTGGTAAAGAGGTCCCAATGGATAGCCATATGCCTGCACTTTAGCTGGCACCAGATATGGGAAGCAAACAAATGAAAATGTGGACGTGAAGGTTGCTTTTCAGTTATGAAGGATCAAAGGGGTTTGTTTGGCTTTAGCTTGTTTGTTTGTTAAACATGGTTTTTTGATCACATACTTGCGAATTGTGTATGTGGGTCATACACACATATATATATATACACACACATTACTTTTCCCTGCTTGAGTTTTAACAGGAAACATAGGCTGTGAACCTAGTATGAGATGGTAAACAATGGTGATAGCATCTAAAATATTATTAGAAATCAAATTGTTCTCACTAATAGTGAACTCAACAGCTGCTTCTAATCCTAAAGTTGTCACAAAATGATGTTATGTCTAGTAGGGGTTTGTAAAATCTGATACTATTGCTTTTCTCAATTCTTTGTTGTTAGCATTCTTCAAATCCAGCTGTGATAACTGTTGCCTTAAGCTGCAGTAGTTTATTCTTTTAACATAATTAGAATATATTAGATGTAGGAAAGGTAGAATGCGAAGCACAAGGCTCTGCATGGTGCGTACCCAGAGCCTATCTTAACTGCTGGAAATAAGTGAAAAGTTGGAGCACATTTTGGCAGAGAGCTGCTTTTTTTTCCTTTGTGCATGTTGATTTTATGTTTACTAATAAAAAGTGCAAGGAGATAACTGAAAACAGTTTCTACCTCCCCCAGCAAGAATTGTGTCCTGCTGCCTTTCTCTTTTTACAAGCTCTTGTATATGTTTATGCATAGCTTTCTGATCATAATCAGATATAGTACTTTTTCTCTCTTCCACTGTTTTTCTGTGAGGTTGCTTTTATCATGAGGTGTCCAACAATAGTAGCAGTCATCGTGGAAATATAGTAATTGTCCTCTAAATAATTCCTCAATTTGAGATCTTGGGAAGGTTGCACAAATTTGTCACAGCCTTTGAGCACAGTAAGACACAGAGTGGTCCATTAAGCAAGTTCCTACATCAAACAAAACCCCTTTTTTCAGTTGACAGTTGCATTTTTAATTAGTCTTTCATTTTATTACTAATTTTGCTTTATTTTTTCTGTCTCTCTTCATGGCTAAAGCAATTACAGCAGAATAAATTCTATGTAGTCTCTCACGTTATAGCTTTTTTGAAAAGCTATGTCATGAATAAATGCAGCTATTTTATACGAGTGATGCTAATTTTTATATATAAAATAATATTTTCATAGATAAAGCAATATTTTACCATATAATGTATACAGCATTATTACTATTATTAGGCTTCTGTGCACCCAAGAGAGCTTTTAGGAAATTACCCAGCTGTTGAGAACACAGCCACGTGCTCACATTTGCAGTCCAGTAACTGTTATGACCTTAGTTTTTAGGAATGCCTTTTACTGTTTTGAAACCATACTGTGACATAACATATGCAACTGCACGCAGTGCTACCATTGTTTGTATTCATATATTCATTTCAAAGCTACATAAACAGTGTAAATGACTTATTTTAAACATGTGATAAACTAAAAACATATCTTTTAATATTATAATGTGGGGGAAAAAAAAACAGCCTAGGTAAAATTTCATGTGCTTTTTGGATTTTTTTATGCAAGAATTCACAATGGCTTTTGAAAGACCTTTAGTGAGATAAACCTGTAACTTAGAGCTGCTTAACTGTGAGAGTGTGTTTATGCAAGTTCATATGTAACTGTTGTAAAGCAGAGAATGCCATGGCCACTGAAACCTGTCAGTCTTGTTGCAGGCACAGTAGCTGGCACAGATGTTCACTGTGTTCCCCAGGTGAAATTCATCATAGTGAACATTGTGCAGGGAATGGCACAAAGGCTGCGGTAACATCAGCTGTGCCTGCAAAGGCATTTGTAAAGATTTGAGGGTTTTTTAATGAGGGGAAAGTATTTGGATACTACAAACTCTTTCCTTTAGCCCCGAAGTTTCAGTAGCAGCTGTTAGGCAGTTGAGAGTTTCTCTTTGATCCTCAGAATTTTCTTTTCTGGTTAAGTCCAATAGTGAGATAAACGAAACTAATTCTGTATTCTTATCTTGATTCTGGATTGATCAGGTAGTTTTTTAAACATCTTACATGCTTTCCTTTTGGTTACTGAATATGCAGCTGAAATTTTTACAGAAACTGTAGCAAAAGTTATGTTTTAACAAAACAAATAAAAACCACCCTCCCTAAATCCAGAAGTTGGTGCTCTCCTGGCATGACAGACGTCAAATTGTCTGTCATATCCAGTATGCATCAGAGTCTGTCGAAAAGGCTTCTCATGGACTTAAAAAACTGTAATTGTCTGTTGAGTGTCTCACTGACTTATAGGCACTTCTCTGCAGCTACCAGTTTGTGTTTAATAAAGTGAAACTTTAAAGTAGACTAGTCAGCAGCTTAAAGGTAAGGTGCCATTTCAGAGCTTCAGACTGAAGTATGAAGAAAACAGCTGTAGAAGGTGTTTGAAGACTGATGTGATGTTCCAGAACTCAGTTGCCTGCCACATGATATGTCTCTCATGCAATGTTTTAGAGTTCAGTTCCCTGCTACAGTATATCCACTGAACATCAACAATACCCAATGTGGCTGGAAAATGCCTGGAATAAGCACTGGGAATAATATGGGCTTCACAAAGCGGAAAATTTTCTTCAAGATTGTAATTGTAAACTTTATCTGAAATCAAGCATATGACCTGAGTTCTAAGAAAGAGCAATTTTTTTCTTATTGCATAGATATATGTACTTTATGTATACGTGTATGTGCATAGAAACACAGTATTATATAGATAAATGTAAATTAAATATTTTTTTAAAATGCCTCTTCTTTCTGTAATAGATTGAACAAATGAGGACAGAGCTGCTTCAGGAAAGAGCTATAAAGCAAGATTTGGAGTGTGACAAAATTTCATTGGAAAGACAGGTAATTATGGCTGGCATATCATCACACTAGCAAGGTAACAGGCTGGTATCTACCTTCATTAGGAAATTCAAATAAGCATTTAAGGAATACAGTATTTGTTAGCAAGACATTAAAAATACGAAATGTGACAGTTGATATGGTGCACTTATTTTAGAATAAAACCAACATCAATATAGAAACTTTTTAAAAGCACATGTACAGAAAAGACTATAGAATATCAAAGACACGGTTATCCAGTTTAGCTGTAAAAGCTTTGAGCACTTTTCGAGGAGCTGTTCTTCAAAGTCTTAACAATACTTCAGGAGCACTGCTGAAGTTAGATCATAATTTCAAGCAATTGTGATTTTAGTTGAATATTTTCCTCTGTGGGAGCAAACAAGTGAAAAGATTACATGCCTCTGAAAGAAAAGATACAGATTTGGTAGAGAACTGCTACTCTCTGTTGTCTAGGAAGGAATATGACTCGTGTTTCAATATCCATGATAGAAAGTACATTAAAAATACTTTATAGATTTTTGCAACATTTTATTCTGCAGCTCAGTGGTCTTTGAAAGCACAATTACTATCAGAGCCCCTAGCTGAGATCCAGAGGAAAGCTGTTTTAGCAAGTCACAGTATTATTGACGGTCTCAAGAACATAAAACAGATTGTAATGGGACTTTAGAGAACATGCTTATACCAGACACCTACTTCGGTGCCTTAAATTATGTGAAATTAATCCCATCTTAATTGTTTGAGAAAAAAGAATGCCACCTACTGGTATATCCCACGTACATCTTTATACTTTAGTTCTGACTTTGCTAGCATAGCTTTTTTTAGTGTTTAAGATCTGAGATCATGGTTTGAAGTTCTGTAACAAAGAGCTTTATTTTCTGCTCCCCATGTAACTTCTTTTTTTTCTGGAAACTTTACCATTAGGTCCCCACTGAAAACCCAAATCACCTAGCCTCATAAAAATTAAAGTGTAAATCTGAGCAAAAAGTCCATTTATAGAGATCAAGCAGCTTGCAAAGTTTTTAAAACTAGTAGGCGTAGCATTGGATAGTTAAGAAGGGGGGGGCCGGAAACACAGTAACAGCTTTGATAGAGTAAAGCGACACTGGCTGAAAGTAATTTACTTGTCTACTTGTTTTAGCCCTTTGCCAGTGAGTTATATGGGAACAATACAGAATTTGACAGAAGAATTGTGTGCAGAATAAGACGGATCTGAAAAATTTTGTCAAATTAAAAAACGTTGTCGGAAGGGGCTTGTGACCATCTGAAGTTCAAGGGTCCATTTAAGCCTAAAACTTTAACTCAAGCTTAACACTCAAATTCTTTTTAATAAAGCACAATAATGGAAGATTTGTTTGTAATAAACAGTAAAATCTCACTGACTCTCTTTTTCCATATTTACTAAATTAAAACTATATATTGATTGCTTTATGTTTGCCTGGAGAAATTTATGTTTTGTTAAGGTGATATTTGTTAATATGCACATGTATGTAGTAATCAAGTATGTTCTAACTATAGAACAAAGACTTGAAGAGCCGAATCCTTCACCTGGAGGGTTCTTACCGATCCAGTAAAGAGGGACTTGTTGCTCAAATGGAAGCGAGAATTGCAGAGCTAGAAGAACGGCTTGAAAATGAAGAGAGGTGAAATTAGTTATGTTAAGATCAAAACATGCATGTTTATGTTTGTTAATATGGCCTCTTACTAATATTAAGTCTCTAATATAATTAACTTGTTTGGTTTTTTTTCTCACAAGCACTAAATAAGAATGGTTATTGCTTCATACAAGTATTGCACATTTTCTTTTTGACTGATAGCTCACTAGAAGTTGCCTTATAAATTTAACATGGTTCCATACCTCGTTGTTTTATCCATGTCTAATATCAGTAGCAGGCTTAGAAATATTAACTACTGTTTAGCAGTTCCATTTTCATGTTCACGTCATTTTTTTAACCTTGGAGGAATGCATTTTTTTTCTAAATGTTGCTCTGGAGGCAGAAGAAATTCCCTTTTGTGGTTCATGCTTTTGAAGGAATTTCTTAAGTTGCATGGAATCAGTAAATCAAAGCAGAGGCTGTTAGTATTTATTTAATTCCTAGAAGATTGTTAAGGAATTATGTCAGCAGGATTGGAAGTATTTCAGTTCCTTTCTTACAAGCCTGTCTTCTGTTTGTTTTGTTTTTTTCTAGGGAGAGAGCTAATTTCCAACTAAGTAACCGCAGACTTGAGAGAAAAGTGAAGGAGTTAATGTTGCAAGTAGATGATGAACATCTCTCACTGACTGATCAAAAGGACCAGGTAGAGCTAAAGACTAATATGCAAATATCTGATATAATCCTACTAGGATAAATCATCCTATATAAAAGATATAAGAATTTGCAGTTCCCATTGTCATTATGTTCTTTTGTCTAGTACTAAATTGTTATTGCTTCTGTGTTTCCTTTCCGTAATTTTAGAAATCAATGCTATGATTATTTTAAGAAATAAAGCCAATAACAGAAAGTATATGAGCCTATAAATATATAAACCAACATATGATCCTGTAAATAGATACACCAACAAATAATATATTCTGGTTTGCCATAGAATTTTGTTTAAAGAAAGAAGCTATTTATTGTTAAATACAGGCTATTAGTATTAAGCATATGCTGGTATTCTAACAGCAATGTGCTCTACCATTCCTGTGGTCTTTATTAACAGATTCCTTGCTTAAAACATGGTTTGTTTCAGTATGTGCGTCAAATAGTATTCTGCCAAGTGAATGAACAGCATGTTTCAAATTGCAGACGTCTGTTAAGGGAACAATCTTTTAAAATCCTCTGAGTTTTTAGAATGTATTTTATAGTATCTGTCTGGTAAAGTTGCTTAACTTAGACACACTAATAGCTCCAGTCTTCCCTTATTGATAAGCAGCTCTTGCTATCACATATTATCTTACTCTACCAAGGCTATGTTTGCTTGTTGCTGTTTTTTCTTCTTAAAAAATTGTATCCCATCACTTTTCTCAAAGTCCAATGATGACTTTTGAATATTTCTGAAGCATAAGATTACAGTGTCACTACACGGCCAAAGTTGTGTCTTTATTCTCCCTCTCATAGATGCTGGAAGAATAAAATTCCTTTATTAAAATAGTCCTCTAATCAGCTGACATGTAAATATTTCAGTTGAGTTTGCGTTTGAAAGCAATGAAACGTCAAGTTGAAGAAGCTGAAGAAGAAATAGACAGGCTGGAAAGTGCTAAAAAGAAACTACAGAGAGAACTGGAAGAGCAACTAGACATGAATGAACAATTACAAGGACAGCTTAACACTGCAAAGAAGGAACTAAGGTAGGATTACTTGTCAGACCTTACAATTATGTATCACACCACCACTCATAAGATTGATCTCTTGCTCCTTTAGTCCATGAACTGAGGGCTTCCTCTAACAAAATTGTCATAAGCAGGCAGTTTAAAAGACAGATTTGTGAAACTCTTCTGCATTTCCTTTTTCTACAAATATTCTCCAATTCTTTCCAGGGGTGCTCTAGGTGCCCAAACCTTCTTTCCAAGATTTGCGTGCTGAATAAAGTGATTGTGGCAGGGAAGAAAAAAATGGAAAAAGGTGGTGGACTTGACCCTCTTATAATTTGTAGTAATA